ATATAGCTAAAATCAATATTTAAAATTTTATTAAAAAATTTTAAAATTTAAAAAAGTTTGCAGGCAAATTTGGCTGCGAAACAATTTAAGGGATAGCTTTTGAAAATCATAAATCTAATTTTTTTTCTCCTGGAATAACAAAAGAAGAGTCGAATTCTACCATTTTTTCCTATAGGCTTCATCTGTGACTATCGAGAGAGGCTGATTCAAAAGTAACATCCACTTCAGAAGTATTTCTTCATGTTATTTTTGAATATAAGGTGGATGGGGACGAACTCTTCTTACAAAATCGGTAATTTTAGAATTTCGCTGCTAAATTAATAGTATTTACAAACTTTTAATTAATTTATAAATAAATAGCCTCAATAAAAAGAAAGTTAAGCTGAAACTAGTCTACAATAAATTCGCTCATTATTAATAAACTTTTGTATAAGAAAAGGTTTGTAAAATTTTTATTATGAATCTATATATCAAGATTTATATATACCTTATTTTATTTACAATACCTTTTTTATGTCTTTGTCATCTAAGATCTCATGGCTGTCTCTAAGGTGTGTAATAAGGTTTCCTGTTGAACTTTCTACGTTTTTATATTTCATGCCACATTTTTTTCTATCTTTATCTATAACTTTACAAACTCACACTTCTTCACCATTTTTATTGACTGTCATTTCAAAGTATTCATGAGTGAACAATGGCTCTTTATGTTTATACTTCTTTTTAGGTTTTTGGGCTAAAACAAAATATATCAATAAATTATTATTTATTTTTAAAATCTTTAATTTTATTACTACGATATTTGTATTAACACCTTTTTCTTTATCTTTTAAAGATGTTATAGAAAGATGAGGCGTGGGCTGGATATTAGTTTCTGGTAAACAATAAGTTTTAGATGGGACTACTGAATTTTTTGCAGCTTCTATGTTAAATTCATTATCAGGATAATTTTCAGAATCATCTTCCATCATTTCATAGAAATATTCAAAATTATCTTCCATTTTATTTAAGGTTTGTATCGTGACTTATATCCGAGATTCTATTTATCAAGCTAGCACATAGCAAAATCCAGTACATTTGATTTGTAAGATTTATCATCTTTTATAATTTTATTCCTTCAATAGTATTTTACAAATCAGTTAACCTATTACTAATACTGATAAACTTTATTTCGCATATATGCATATTCCCACATTTTCTTTAACTACCAGATATATACCTGACCTTGGCGCAACTACTTATTTAGTTCTTTTTTTTTTTAGAGCAATATTATACTATTCTTTTAAGTATTACAGTCAGTGAAAAAAATTAAAAACTTGGATAATTGAAATAATTTATATATTTTTATTTAAAGGTCTAAAAACTGAAGAAACATTAATTTCAGCTAGGAATTATGATATTAGCTAATATTACAAGGTCGGTAGTAATTTTAATGATTTTTATAGCAATATGTTTACTCTATTAGTGAATTTTTCATTAATGGTACAAAGAATTCAATATTTTGAGCATACATGCAATCTTTCTAGAACTTTAAAATAGCTTGCCATCAACCTAAAATCTTTCTTTATTTAAAAATTATTTACTTTCATTAAACCCTATTTGAATAATTCTTATTGCAAATAAAAAAAAAAATAATATGAATCAATGGGGTGTGCAATATTTATTTGCTTCATAACTTGTTTGAAATTTTCAATTGCTTTGTTCTACCTCAAATATGGTGTAATTCTGTATTTGTTAAATCTTTTTTTTTTGAAAAAAAAAATAATTTACACGTATAATCTTGATTTTTGAAACTGAGAACTGGGAAGCTATTTACTAGTATACAGCTAAGTCATGTTAAATACGAGCATATACCGTATATTGCTGAAAATAAGCCACCTCCGAAAATAAGCTACCCCTTTTTTTCTTGGAGAAGAAATATAGAAAAATTTGTAATTCCGAAAATAAGCTACCCTGATAATTTCTTAAAATCCGGAAGTAGTTTCTATATATAAAAGTCAAAATTCTATTAAGTAAATCGATAAAAGTCACTTAATAGGAGTTGTTCAGAACGTAAAAATACACATATTCTGAAAGTTTGAAGCAAATCGGAGAACTTTTTACTAATATGTTTTTGTATTTTACGCTCAAACGTAAAATGCAAAACATCTTAGTAAAAAGTTCTCCGATTTGCTTTAAACTTTCAGAATATGTGTATTTTTACGTTTTGAACAACTCCTATTAAGTGACTTTCATCGATTAATTTAATAGAATTTTGACTTTTATATATAGAAACTACTTCCGGATTTTAAAGAAATAATAAAAATCAACCTTTTCAAAACTTTACCTACCCCCATGATTTTTGTGTCACTTTTTGGCCAAAAAAGGTAGCTTATTTTCGGAAACCTATGGTAAGTTTAATAATTTCAAGTTTATCTTTTTTTTTAGCATTTTTAAGAATAAAAGTTCGCAATAAAATCTTTATTTTAGCTCAATTCTAAAAGTAATATAATGTGATTGAATTATGCACAAGTATTACTATATATTTAATTTAATTAATCTGCAGTTTTGTGTGGATATTAAATTTTTAGCTATTCTACACAGATTATGATAAAAAAAAGATGGTCTCGACCATTTTTTTTTTTTTTTTTATGATATGAACTTCTATTTTTTAACTAATTAAATTTAAACCTGGCCTATTAATTTAATATTTGAGAGTTTTTTAAAACTAATCTTAAGTATTATGTTTGTAATTATACTAATGATAAACACTACAATGGTGGTGAAATACTTTGAATAATTTGAATAATTGACGAATTGATAACTTGTATCATGTAATTTACATAAAATTCTATTAGCCAGTTTTATAATACTAAAATTTTATTGGATAATTTTTTCACATAATTGATGCTAATTTTTTAATCTCAATATAATAATAGATAATTTTTAATACAATATTATAAAATATTTATTTTATAAACTTTAAATGTTTTTTATAAAAAGTATAAATAAACTAATAAAGATTAATTTTTATAAAAAGAAAATAGTTGAGGTGTGGTGACTTAGTGTAGTGATCTAGTCATCACCTTCTCCAAGTGGCAGGTCTAGAGTTTAAATCCCACAGACAATAAATTTTGAAAAATAGCCTGTGTTATAGTTTATGGTTGTCGATTATCGGTTGAATCTAGAACTAAATCTGTAATCTTGGTCACACTATCTAGTTATGGGAGCTTTGGTACAATAAATCTGAGGAACTGGAATAACCGAAAACCCATTTGGCAAGTTCCGAATTTGGAGGTAGCAGTGATTTTTGACAGTATTATGGAAGGGCTGAATTTGAATCGGGGCCTGAAATTGGAGAACCGAGTAATCAGATTCTTAAGTGAGGGACATACTAGCCGAACTGCTGAGCCAACACACTAGAGGAAAAGGATATATGCTCTGAAAGTATGGACACAAAAGGAGGGCATCCTTTAGGCACTTAAAGCCTGAGCAGACCAATCTATCCAGGTTGCTAGCTAGAAGTAAAAGAGGAACCAATAAAGAATCTAGGTAAGAAGATAGTTCAAATGTGGGTACTGGGGTTGTTATGAACTGGATAAGAGCAAGGAGTATATAATGGTGTCTAATTAGGAAGGTTGGTGCTTAAGAAACATTTGTAGAATGGCAGCATCCCAAAAAGTGGCGTGAGATATAAATACAAAATAACAGATCAATATGTACTAATTAGAAAGCCGCTACAGAACATGCAGGTGAATACATGTGTAGAACATGTACTACTCTGTTAGATTTACTTCGAGGATAGATTAGCTTAAGTTAGTAAGTCCTAAAGTAGGGTGCTAATTCCAATTGGGTAGATACAAAACCTACTACTATATAGTGAGTAATACCTATGGGTTAGAGTTATAACAGAGGTAGTTGGAACCAGATAGTTTAAATAGGTACCCTCCTAGTTGGGGTACAGGTACGGTAGATAGTGTAGAACCTTCGGGTGAACTACTTAAATTAGGTACTCAAAAGGTGCACGTGTGGCTTGATGTATCATCATTGTAATTATATTATAAAACTCCGGTTACACTCTAATAAAATGTTCTCTAGGTCAAAAAGGTTCTCTTAATAACAAAAATAAAAAATAAAAAAAAATATTATATATTTAGTTCTAAACATATAATATTAATTTAAATTATTTGTATTTTATATATAGCTTTTGCTGTCCCATACTATATAAGGTATATTAGATTAAACAATTACACAAAAACTTTACTAGCTAGGATTAGATTTGCTACTCTATTTATCCTGTCTTTATTTGATTATTATCTACACTTATACTAATTTTAATTCTTAATTTTATATAACTTTAAATATTTGGAAGCAAAAAATATTGTGAATTTGAAATCTATTTAGACAAATTCTGGATTTAAAATTTAAGAATAAATAAATAAAAACAAATTTTAATTATAAAATAGTTTGAAAATATTGTATAATTTGATATTTGTTTTTAGTAATATCTTTATAAATTACAAACATTTAAAAATTAAAAAAATAAATTGAACCACCATTAGATGAACAGGCTATTTACCTAACATTATACAGGTAACAATTTACTACCAATATATATGGGTCTATATTATTTTATTAACAATTACTTAGATACCACATTTCATTGAAAATTATTCATAGTCAAGTTTATTTTATCAACAGTCTATTTTACCAAAGCTCATTTGCCAACAAGTCTTTTTTATAAATTACACTAACTTTAGTTTTAATTCTAATCTAAAATAAGCATTAGTAAAATAAACTGTTGGTAAAATGAACATGTCAGTAAGTAATTGTTAGTGAAATAGGGTATCTATGAAATAATTGTTGGTAAATTGATTAGATCTCAATATATACCATGTAATGCTTAGAAGCTTTAAGTGTTACATAAGTTATATATATAAGAGTTTTACTAAGAGATTTAGAATTAATGACTATTGGACTCTAAGAAAAGTATAATTATTATATTTATTAAACTTTATATTGTTGCTTTAATTTGTAACTCTAACTTCTGTCTTTCTAGTTTTTTTCATTTCTCTATTACTTACTATTCCTTTCTACTTTAATAATATTAGGCAAATGGTCTATATAAAAAAATGATTGTTAAAGAAATAAGTAGCTACTTTATAATTATTTTATATTCATTTTATATTTGTAATAAATAAGTAAATTCTTAATCGAATATATATTATATATATCCGATTAACCATTAAACAACTATTTTTTAAGTATTTTTAAATAGTTTAGTGTTTTTGAATAGTTCAGTAGTTTATAATTTTCATCCAACTCTTTCTGATGATCACTTGGTCCAAAATTTCTATGAAAAAAAAGTCTTTGTTTTTTTTGCTGAAAATAGATACTGGGGTTTAAATAGCTCTAAAAGCAAAATGGTTTTTATAGAGATCAACTTTTTACTTTATAGGGACTTTTCTATATATTCGGCAAGTAAGCCAAAAGCATCAGTATACAAGATAACTGGCAAAAGGTGGTGCTCTTGTATATGAAATTTTGGTGTAAAGGTGGAGGTGAAAAGTTCAAGCCATCCATCACAAAGTAAGCTACTAAGAAATAACTAGAGAATAGCAAAAAGTATACTTTCCTTAAACTGCACTTTTTTATCTTGGCCAAGTGGTTTCTATATTACTCTTTCTCGCCTTCCTGCCATTCTTACAAAATTTCTAACAAAAAGTGAGGATTTGGTTTACTCTTTCCAAAAGATCGGCATTGTTTACTTTTTCATTTTAAGATGGACAACATAGAATATAAACATGAGATTGTTTTGGCAATTGATACTCCTACACCATGTGACAAATTAATCAATGCTCTGAATATCAAAACAATCCGAACTAGATACCATAGTCAGAAGAAAATCAAGAATAAGGCTTTGCTTTACAATAGAGATATATGATGGTTTTTGAATTTTAGTTATAAGATTTTTTTAAATTTAGTATATAATTTTTACAACTTGTATTTAGCACGGACTATA